ATGTAGATGTATTTCTGACGTATTTGTGGGGAGGAAGGTGATCTCCACGTCTTACTCCTCCACCATCTTGAAGGTCTCCCCTCTTACTTTTCTATTTCATGCTTTTTATGTTACATTCAAGAAAGTTTTGCAAAGCCCAATGTTACTAAGATTTTTTTCTATGCATTCCATTAGAAGTTTTATAGTTTTAGCTTTTAATTTAGGTGTATGATTCGTTTTGAGGTAATTTTTGTAATAGGGTGAGATGAAGTTTATGGTGTATATTTTGGCTTATGGCTCTCCAATTGTTCTAGTGCCATTGTCTGAAAAGATTATCTTTTTCCCCATTAAATTGCCTTGGCACTTTTGTTGAAAATAAGTTGACCATATATATATGTAGATTTATTTCTGGAGTCTCTATTCTGTTCCATTGATCTATTTGTTTATTTTTTTATGCCACTATCTTGATTACTTGATTACTGTAGCCTTATATTGATAGAATGAGTTATGAAGTATTACCTTCTATATAATTTTCTGGAAGAATTTGTGTACAGTAGGTATTATTACTTTTTAAATACTTGAAAGACTTCACTAATGAAACCATCTGGGCTTGGAGTTTTCTTTTGGGGAAGGTTTTTAACTACAAATACAATTTTTAAAAATAGGTGTAGGGCTATTGAGGTTATCTATTTCATCTAAGTTATGTGGTTTATTTAAGTGCATTTAATCTAAATTGTTTAATCTATTGGCATAGATTTGTTCATAATACATATCTTATAATATTTGTAGAATATTTAGTGATGTCGCCTCTCATTTATGCTATGAGCATGTAAACACAACATCAAATTTAATATTGCTTTCCTTTTTTCTATTTTATTGATTTCTGTTTTTAGTCTTATTATTTCATTTTTTTTCTGCATACTTTGGGTTTATGTTGCCCTTCTTTTTCTAGTTTCTTAAGGTGAAAGCTGAGATCATTGATTTGAGACCCCCTTTTTCAATATAGGTTTTAGTGCTATAAAATTTACTTCTAAGTACTGCTTTAGCTGTGGTCCATAAATTTTAATATGTGGTGTTTACATTTTTATTCATTTCAAAATACTTTCTAATTTCCCTTTTGATTTCTTCTTTGCTCCGTGAGTCATTTAAAAGTGTTATTTCCTCATATTTACAGATTTTCAAGATATCTTTCTGTTATTGAATTACTAGTTCTTTTGTTGGTTGGCAAGTTCTATCAATGTAAACTAGGTAAAGTTGGTTGACAGTGCTGTCCAGGTCTTCAGTATCCTTACCGATTTTTTTGGTTTACGTGCTCTACCCTTAATTGAGGGAGAGAGATTTTGAGAACTCTGATTAAAATTCTTCCTGAAATTTTATTAGTTTTGCTTCCCTGTATTTTGAAGCTTTATTAGGTGGATACATGTTTAGGGTCATTATGTCCTACTACTGAGTTGACACCCTTATCATTGTATAAAAATCCCTTTATCCATTGTAATATTCTTTGCTTTGAAATCTACTTTGTCTGATAGCCCTGCAGGTTTCTTTTTATTAGTGGTACTGTGGTATATATATTCCATCCTTTCACTTTTAAAGTATTGTGTCTTCATTTAAAAGTGGATTTCTTGTAGCCAGCATGCAGTTGAGTCTTGCTTTTTTACCCAGTATGACAATCTCTCCCTTTTAATTTGGGTGTTTAGACCATCTACGTTTAATGTGATTATTGACATGGTTGAGTTTAAATATATGATATGCTCTTTGTTTCTTGTTTGTACCACCTGTTCATCATTCTGTTTCCCCTTTTTCTTGTTTTCCTTTTAATTTATTGAGAATTTTTATGATTTCATTTAAAATCCCTTATTGGCTTCTTAATTTTTTTGTTTTAATATATTTTAGTGGTTGCTTTAGTAGTTATAGCAACCCTATACAACTTATCACAGTCTTCAAGTAATATTATCCCACATCACACATGGGATGAGAATCTTACAACAGCATACTTCCGTTTCTCCCTCCTAGCCTCTGTGCTATTGTCATACACATTACTTCTACATATGTTAAATCTAAAGATAATTTTTATTATTTTTGCTTTGAATAGTCAATATTTTAAAGATATTTAAAAAATAAAAATAGTCTTTCATATTTACCCACATATTTACCATTTTCAATGTACTTTATTTCTGTGTAGATTCAGATTTCCATTTGGCAAATTACCTTCTGCTTGAAGGACCACTTTAATATTTCTTGTAGATTATGTCTGCTGGTGAGATGGTGGTATTTCCATCACCTTTTATATTTCTGAAAAATCTTTATTTTGCTAGGTATAGACTTTTAGATTAACTTTTTGTGGTTCAGTAATTTTAAAATATTGATCCATTGTCTTATGGCCTGCATTGTTTTCAGAAAGAAGTCTGCCTTAATTTTTATTATGTTTCTCTGTGTATGATGTGTCATTCTCCTCTAGCTGCTTTTAAGATTTTCTCTTTTTACATTGGTTGTAAGCAACATGGTTACTATGGGCCTTAGTGTAGTTTTCGTAATGTTTCTTGAGCTTGGGTTTTTTGAGATTCTTGAATCTGTAGGTTTATAGTTTTTTGTCACATCTGAAAAATTTTCAGCCATTATTACGTCAGAATTTTTTTCTTTAACTCCCATTCTTTGTGGAATCCAATTACACACATATTAGGCAGCTTGAAGTTGTTCTTCAGTTCTCTGATTCTGTTCACATTTATTCATCTTTTTCCCTCCCTATTCTGCTTCATTTTGCATTGTTTCTATTGATAAGCCTTCAAGTTCACTTGTCTTTGTCCTGCAGTGTCAAATCTGCTTTTAATTCCACCCCTGTGATTTTTAATCCCAGACATTGTATTTTTTATCTCTAAAAGTTATAGTTGGATCTTTATTGTATATTTGATATCTCTACTTAGTATGTTCAGTCTATTTTAGTTTCATGAACAAATAGGATACAACTAATAACTATTTTAATATCCTTGTCTACTAATTCTATCACCTGTGTCATTTCTGGACAAATTTCAATTGATTGCTTTTTCTCTTCATAATGAGCGGTATTTTTCTGCTTCTTTGCATGACTGGTGATTTGTTATTAGATGCCAGAAATTGTGTGAATTTTACCTTGTTGAGTGCTGAATCTTTCAGTATTTCTATAAATGTTTTTGGACGTTTTTTCTGGTTTGTAGTTAAGATACTTGGAAACAGTTTGATCCTTTCAATACTTGCTTTCAAGCACTGTCAGTTGGAACCAGTGCAGCCTATAGTGTAAGGCTAAGTTTCTGCACTGCTGAGGCAATAATACTCTTCTGAGTATTCTGTCCAGTGCCCCTGGCATTGTGAAGTTTTACACTTTGATGATGGGAAATTGAATTATTCCTGGATTTGTGTGAGCTCTGGGGATTGATTTTTCTGCTCCTTTTAGGTATATCTTTCCCTAACTTTGGTTAGTTTCCTCACACATGTGTGCTTACCAGTAATCGTGAGGGATTCTCTGCAGACCTCTGGAAGTTTATGTGCAGGTCTTTCTCCTCTGTTACTTTACCCTACCAACTATATCCACCTTGGCCTCCCTAGACTCCCAGCTTCGTCTTCTTAACTCAGTGAGACCATTAGGATTTGCCTCTGTACACTGCAGTTGGTAATTTCTTTCTTGAGGCAGTAATCTGGGACAACTGTAGAGATGACCTCATTTGTTTTTCCTTTCTCAGGAATTACTTCTTCATTGCTTGATGTCCAGTTTCTGAAAACTGTTGTTTTTATATATTTCATCCAGTTTTTTTTAGTTGTTTAACCCAAGAAGGGTACATCCAGTCCCTGTTAGTCCATCCTGGTCAGGAACAGAAATGTCTACATATGTGAAGAAAATATATGATATATATTAAACATACAGTATATTGAGTGCTTCACACATAGAAAGTATTCAATAATCAGTCACTATTGCTATTTCTCCACCTGCATTCTGTTCAATAATGAAGCTTTATTTTATATACCACCTTCCATATGAAGGCTTCCAGATGAATTATTACTCTTTATTCTTTGTACTCACATCACTTTTTTTTACATACTTTCATGATGACATGGATCTACATTATAAATTTTAGTTTACTTGTTTGTATTTTGTGGTAGATTGTAAGCTCTTAGACAAATAAGATCTATCTCGTTTATCTATCATTAGTTTCCAGCATATAGTAAATGCTTAGATCTTTGTTGCATAAATGAATAATCGTGAGTATCTCACACCTTTTATGAAATATTCAAGAGTAGAATTTTTGATTGGGAAGGAAAGAGAGATGGTTTAGTGGATGAGAACCTTTGAGCAGAATGAAAGTGGAGAGGAGTTCCAGAGAGCAGCATGAGAGCAAAAGGTGGTTGGTTGAGGTTCATAATATATAATAATGATAATGACAATCGTACTAGTAAATACTACTACTACTACTTCTAAAGTTATTGTGAAGGTGAGAGAGGATAGAGGAGTATAGAATGGAGACTAGGAAAGACTTATTGTAGTATGTCAATGCAACCATTTTGTGATACCTTCAGCACCTTGCTGAATATAGATGGTAACGTTGGTAACATTTCATAAATGTGTATTGTGTGAATCAGTGTAATTTGAATTGTTGTAATAGAGGCTTTTAAACAAAGTGCTGAGAGAACACAGTATACTTTTTGGAGTATACTTGTGAACCTTGGAAGGAAGTGGTAGGGATGGATTAACTGAGAAGAAGCAGAAAGAAATTCTAGATAGTGGAGAATAGCATAAACACAAAAAGTACTATAGGCGATAAATAAGCATAATATAACAGAAAGAACAAATGGACCTTGGAGCTGGGTTCAGTAGGGCTTCAGTTTTATCTCTGTCACTGGTGTAACTCTGGAAAATTACCTAGCCTGTCTGAGACTCAATTCCCTCATCTATAAAATGGGTGTGGTTGTTGGGAAGATTATATGATGCATAGAGTAAATTTATTTTATGTTGCAGATAGTGGGTCCAATAACTATTAGTTTCTTCTTTTTAGACATTCTATATCTTCTGATGAGGAAAGAAAAATGCTTCAAGAAGGACTTTGTGACCCCTCATCACTTTGTATAAGAGCCCAGGTATAATATATAATTTATGAGTATAACTAATGTTCCCATTTATTTCCGTGGCAAATGAGGATTGCATTGCATTTTTGTGGTCTAATACTAAGACCTAAGTAATTTTAACACCCAGTTTCTTTACATCTTCTAGTTTTAACTTATGTTTATAACTATTAGGATTATTGGCTAAACTTTACATACAAATGAAACAATTTTACTACCACAATTCAATATTTTTCAGAAATGTTTCTATTTATAGGGAATATATCTACTGAATGAAAGATTGGAAAGATGAGTATCAGAAATCCTAAAATTTTTCAAGTCTGGAAACTACTTGTATTCTTTTAAATTATTTGTTTTATGAATAAAATCAGTTTTGATATTAATTTACCATCATGGAAATCATATAATACAAGGTACGGAGTAAAGTTTAGAAACTTTTGACTTTTAAAAAGTAATCATACTTTAAATTTCCAATTGATTTATAAAAAAACATTGTTCATGTGCACTTACAAAAATATTTTGGATACATGGAGATTTTAAAAGGAGTTCTAGCATAACTAAAACAGAGTAATCTTTTACTTTTTTCACTGAAGGAAAAATTCAGGACTCTTCCAGTTAAGTAACTCTGTCCTTGGTTTAGAGAACTGAAAAATTTGCATAGTCAATAGAATAAAAATTGATAAGCCATAGCAGTTTTGGAGCCAATTTTCAGCACTGTTTTTGGTTCTTGAATACTTGCATTGACATATACAACTCATAGGTATAGTGCATAATGCTGCTGATCCTGCCAAGTGAAGAACCACCGTTAGTCATCTACCTAGTATCTCAACTGCTGGGTGCTGAGTTGGCAAGGATCTGGCATGTGGTAGCACCTGACTTCATCTGCTGTCTTCACTATAGACTGGTTCTTTGCATTTATGAATCTTAGACTGGCCTTGATGACAGTTTGCTTGGTTGAAAGTCACCTTATTTTAATTTAAGACGTGTTGCCTCCATGATACTTGTAAACATGTTGAGAGGCTGAGTTTTGATGAATCTCACAAAACTCCTCAACAGGGCATGAACTGAAACCAAGGAGCTGACAATATTAATAATTCAGCATTTGGCAGTATTGTGGATATTAATGCATTCATAGTTCATCTTGACAAACCTGGGCCCAATCACATGTGAAAATGAGTTTAGTCATCTAATATTAGTTTCTGGTGAGTATTTTTATACTTTTCTTTCAAACTATAGATGAAATGAAGAAAATATTAGTCACTTCTTAGAAATGCAAGGTTCATAGCCCACATGACTATGTGCTGTGAAATTTAAAAAAACGCTTTACAATAAATTACCATCTTGATTTAATGAAATAATGCATAAGAATTCTTATAGTGCATTATGGCTGATTTGTGATATTTTAAATTGCCCATTCATAGTTTCAGAGTGAAGTACCTTTTTTGGTATTTCAGCTAAACATGTAACTCTTAACTTTAAATAACCAGTAAATTTACATAATCTATGCAGGTAAACTATATAAAGCATTTGTCATAAAATTTAAAACATGCTAATAATAATACATGTAATAGCTAAATATATTCAGTATTTAGGACTTAAAAGTTATTTTACAAATATTGCTTTCGTGGGGAAATAAATGTATCTTTTTGTAATAAAATGCCACAGGAGTGACACAATTTTATTTAATTATTAGTAACTCCAGGACACACCTCTTAATATGTGGGGCCTAGAAATAATATGGCAATGACTGAAGTGGAAAGATCTTGCTCCTTAAAATTTGGTGGCTTGTTGAGCTGTCTGAATCATCTATGTCCTTCTCGCACATACCCCAATACATTTTATGATCACAAAAGAATTATTTTTAGATCTCTAAACTAGCCTCTTTCAGGCTAATATAACCACTTTGTTGTAAGATTTCTTCTTTTAAAGGGTATAAATGAAGAATTTAAATTTTCATGTGAAGAAAAAGGATATTATTTGGTCCTTGAAGTATTTGGGTCCATATTTCTACCTGGAAATCCTAACTATTATAGTCAAGTTGAACTACAAGGGGAAAAAGCTTATAAATTAAGCTTTTTTTAAAAAAGGGCCATTTATTTATTTATTTATTTTTATTTTATTTTTGGCTGCATTGGGTCTTTGTTGCTATCTGGTGAAACACTTTGACTTAAAACTGGAAGGAAATAACAAATCGAATGGACACTATTTTGGATGCTTATAAGCTTTTAATAAATTTCAATATAGTCAGGCTTATGTCTCAATATTATATTTTCATTCACATCTTCAAATGGGCAATTATGTCCACATGATAAATATGTGGGGTTAATGATGATAATTTGCCATCTGTGTCATGAAGCAGCTCCTTTTCATCCTTAGGTAAAAATTTCCATAGTTTTCTTGGTAATTCTTTAGAGTATAAAAAATCTGAATTAAAAGGAAAAAATTTTACACTATAAAAATCTCATTCTTGCCAAGAAATGAATTATACATAAGGTCTGAAAATAAGTAGAGTAGAAAAGAAGTAGAGATATATTTTAGACAGCAGATTGGATCCATTCAAAGAATTTGCAGGAATGCTTTCATTATGCTATGGTAGTAATAAATGGTATTGTGCCACAAACTTCGTAATAAAAATGGAATAGGTTTTAAACCAAAAGCTTGTTTGGTAACTTTGGCTCAATTTCTTGCCACTTCTGTATCCCTTGCAAAGGAGAATGCACGACATCTTTGTGAACAACCTGAATTTCTCTTGCCCTGGAAAACCATACAGTCCAACTTGGCTTTTGACACAGTCTAAACTACTCCGATTAGGTAAAGCTGATCTTAAGAGAAAACTTGGATACTCAGCAAACCCCAGCAGATATTTTGACACAGTCTTGGAGCTGATAAGTCATCATAAATTTAAATATTACCTTTCCTAGGAGAAACCTCACTAATAAATTGTTTTGAATATTTTATGAATGACTGAGCACCCTACTTTGTTAATAAGTCCTCTGGAAAGCTATGACTTTTGGGGGATGGTTTTACTTTTGGAGGAAGGAGTGTTGAAGAGAAGGTACTGATGAGGTGTCATATAATTTTACAAGTTGCATAACTGCTTTTAACTACAAAACTATCTCTGATTATAGTAACAATTGAGCTTGTAATTTTTTCTGAACAGCTGCTGCTACAGGGGGTCATTACCTTGGAGAGCTCGAAAATAATCGTACTCTTGGTACATGAGTTATGTAGTCTTGTGTTTTACAGCAAAGCACAAAGTTTAAAGCCTATAGAAGAATGTTATTTGAAAGCTGTCAAACCATGTTAAAAAAGACTGCATCGTCAAAAGGCCCTGGTGGCCACGATTCTGCATGTAGCCTTGTCTTATTCATTACAAAATGCATGTTTATAAAGTTCCACAGAGCATCCAATTCCCAGTTCACTTATATCAGCAAGACTTAACTTGCTCATTAATCTAAATTCTTTTGCAACTTTAATCTACATGTTTAATTAATCATAAAATGAGGCGGTAAGTAATTTCAGCAATGTGTGGCTTGTTATCAGATGCATTTAATCACTCTTCTGTGAGCTCATTTGGAAACACCTGAAGATGTCGAGTGCAGTCTGAATAAGCATAAATTATTCTTTGTCAGTGTACTTCACTCAACTAATAAGACATTAATTTAAAAGGCACTGTTTGTCATTTTTAGATCTTTACCAATATTTTTAGCTTAGCAATATAACTCTAATTGTATATATGATTCACAACTAGTGCCCGACATAGGAAAGGGTAAGAGTTTATTTCATTTTTCTTATTTACATGTAATTATGTCATGTAATCTTAGTTTTTAATGAGGATTAACCATCTTGTAAGTATTCATATGCTTTTGGAATAAGGTACTAATGAATTATAGTTGGAAAAATTATTTGTTGGTACAAAGGCTTGTGATTTCTTGTTGTTGCCTAGGTTAGGTCTGAAAAGACATGAGGTTTGGGAGAGTGCTTTGATTTGAGGATACAGGTATTGCATAGAGATTATATGATGCAGATGATAACCTTATAAAAATTCAAGTAAAACAGTTATATTCAGCTATCCCACATAATAACATATGTAATCCTTACATAGGACCAGGTAGCCTAAGGTAATGACAGTCCCATTTTTCCCCCCTAGTGTCTTAAGAGTATTGCACAGTTGATGACAGCATTTTTTAAAAAAAGACAAGAAACAAGAACAACAATAAAAACAAAAACACACTCATAGCTTCAGAGCAAAAAAAATTCATGAGGTCTGAATGAGTTATATATCTCAGTGCTGACATCGAGATATATTTTTATAGGAATAAAAATTGCATTTTATAGGATGTCATCACCTGTCCTGTTCATGCCATGAGAGCAGTGACACATGGTAAGAATAATTATCTCAGTGGAAACAAATTTATTTGCCGTGGAACATCCCTGTTTATCTTATGAACTTATCTCACTCATATGCTATCTATGGATTGTCAGCAGTGAGCCAGAGGGGATGATTCCTGAAAAGGGAATATTGGTTTGAGCTGAAATATAGCCATATTCTCCATTTTTATTTGATGTGCACATCTCCTGGGTTTCTTCCCTTTCTTCAGGGATCCTTTACACTTAGCTAACGGTTATTTATATGTCCATTTCTTGCCTTATGCCTCATCACTGTGTAAAAATCCTCCTTCCTGTTTTCCTTTCTAAGGGAAAACAAAATCCCAGGAAATCTCATTTGTACTGTTCAAGTCACATAGGCCATCGCAGCACATTGCAATGAAATGCCATTTACCCTTATTTCACTTAAGGCACTATAAATTGTTTTCTTAGAACCACTGATGAAAACTTCACATCTTCTTTAGAATCATTCTTGAGAAACAGCATTTCATTTGAACTTAACTTTCTTGGTAAGAATACTTTTCTCATTCCTGTAAAATCTTAGTGGATAGACATATACAGTCTAATATGAAGGCTTGCTGTCAGTTTTTCTTGATAAGAAACCTCAAACTTCCCTAACTCCCCTT